AAAAGGATCACACACCATGAGTAAGTGGTGTTTATTCCACGGATATAAAGATGGTTCAATATCTATAGATCAAACAATGGGATACACCACGTTAACAAAATGAAGGATAAAAATCATGATCATCTCAACAGATGCAGAAAAAACATTTGACAAAATTCAAACTCCATTTATGATAAAAAAAAATCTCAACAAAGTGGGTATAGAAGGAACATGCCTCAAAATAATAAAGGCCATGTAAGACAAGCTCACAGCTAGCATCGCGCTCCATGGTGGAAAGCTGGAAGCTCTCCCTCTCAGATCAGGAACAAGACAAGGAGGCTTACTCTTGACATTAATTCAACATTGCATTGGAAGTCCTAGCTAGAGCAGGTAGGCATTCAAAAGAGAAGAGGATGCCATAAAAATTTTATAACAATTCGTTCATTAGCGTATGGGCCAGGCTACTGTGACACAATCACATTGATTACACTAGGCGGCCACAGAGCATCCATATTACTGCTTTTCATTATCAGTGCAGGAATCGTTATACCTGTAAATAAATGTGAATTTCCTTTTCACATTATCTTTTCATTTTGGGGGGGAGGTAATTCAGTTTTAATTAATTCATTCATTTTTTAGTGGAGGTACTGGAGATTGAATCCAGGACCTAATGCATGCTAAGCACGGTCTCTACCACTGAGCTAGACCCTCCCCACCTTTATCTTTTCATTTTTGATGTGTAGTATCAGTAGCTCCTTATGCACTATCTCCCCAGTGTTTGGTCCCTCAGCCTCTGATGTGAATGGGGGTGGTGGTGGTGACATCATTTCTGAGGGACCCTTAAGTCCGATTTTCTCCAGCTCCAGGTGCCTGAGCCCCACATGCCCATCATGTTGGAAGCTGAGTTTGACCGTGTGGCATCATCCATCTGCCCAGGATGCTCAGGCACAAAGCAGGATGCCAGCCTGCTCAGGAAGGACAGAGGGACAAGGCAGCCACACATCTCCAGCTGGAATTTCCTCTCATGCTTGTTCTGTGGTCACAGAGTAAAAACGCTCCATTTTGAAGGTAAGGTCTTCACTCAATCAATATTTTCACAATTGTTGGGGACGGTATCCACGTGTGAGCATCAAGGCGACCATTAACCACTGACATCAACCACGTAAACTGGGGCCCCCCAACTAACGAAGAAGTTAATTCCATTGCTACTTCAGTAGTTGACTAACCGGGCTAATAGGGGTCATGTGGTTACATTATGACTCTTGACACCAAGGAGCCCTATGTCTAGAATAAAAGGCTGTAAGGAAATGTGTGAGCATTTTAACAGTCAGTTTGGGAAGAATCTAGAAGTGATTTTCTTCTACCTTTTTGAATTTTCATAATTTAGTGCATATGTATTACTTTTATTATGAAAAGTTCAAACAATACTCTTACCTGTATGACGTTAGAAACACAATTTTCCAACTGTTCTTTTATCTCTATATCCCACCAGTGTTTGGTTGATAGGGTTATTAACCCACTAGTCATACCACATTTATTTCATTTGCTAGTATTCTTAAGGAAATGTTCTTAAAGTCCTTGGCTTTCATTTAGTCATTTTTAAAAGCTTCATTTATCAAAATGACACACGTCTATTATAAAAAAAATAATAAAGAAACATTCCAGGAAGAATGGGGAAATTATCCAAATTCCTATACCCAGGGATAATCTCAGTGATCATTTTGGTGAATATCTTTGGTTTGCACAAACCCAGTCATTTTTCAATTGATTTTATTACATTTTTAGTGAATTATTTCTTGAACTAGTTACACATTCATAAGGTTCAAAATCAAATTTCAAAATATGCAAATGGACATACATATGTGCAAAAACTGAAAAGTGCATCTTCCTTACCAATGGATTTTGTTGCATTTTGGTAAATATGTAGATACACCTGGTTCTTTGGAAGGCAGGACCATATTCCATGGTATGGAGGTACTATAATTTATTGAACGCATCCTGGCTAAAAGACGTTTTGCTGAAATAATTTCACTACTTTCACTCTGAAAGCACACACCACATGAGGAGCTTTCTGAAGTACACCATCAAGGCCTTTGCTTTGAAACTGGCCTGAATGAGACCCTCACCCTGTCCATGTCCAGCCCTCCTTGGCTTCATCGAGCCCAGCCTCGTGCATTTCAATGAAACACTATCTTTTGTAGGACCTTGATATCTGCTTTCCAGTTTTGCACGATGTTTGAGTAATAACTTGGCAAGAAGGAAAACTTCATCATCGACACACATCAAAGAGTTCTTCTCTCTCTCAACGTCTTGCCTCCCCATGAGGTTAAGGCCCTTATGAGGGAAATCCAATGAGCCGCACCTCTCACTGGTCTCACAGATGGTAAGATGTACACCTGTATTTTGCAAGTCCGAGACAAACTGGGGAAAAAAAATCCAGTTGGGCCTGGGTGTGCTTGAAATTGTTCAGGCACCTAGCACATTAGTAACAATCTTTTTTGGACTGTTGGCTCGCCTTGTTCAGAAGAGTAGTCACTGGCACGTGATGTTGAGATGTTGTGGCTTTGACCTTTCTTCAGCACCCCCCCTCCCCCATGGAAGCAGCAATCTTGAGTCTGTTTCCTTGGCTAAATATTTCTTCCTCTCATCCTCAAGGGCACATGTATCCACACACATTTGTATTTGAGGGTCTGGACTGGATTGATTGTGGTTTGGAAAGATCAAATTTTAAAAAAAATGATGATAATGTGCACATCAAAGGTTCCTTGAACTTTCTGGAGCTGATAGAAGAGCTGAAGGGGCCTTGGATACCAGACAAGGTCTTCTGGGTGGCAGGCACAGGAGAGGTGCCCTCGGGTCCAAGTGCAGGACCAAGGGCAGGGTTGGAGCTGAGTAAGTGCCTGGCGGAGAGACAGGAGGTGGCAACCACACGTCCACGTCTGCTGACACTGGTGATGTGTGATGTGCCCACGCTCTCACCGCTCACACTTCCCGTCCACGCAAGGGGCATTTTCCAGAGCAAGCTCTTCCAGAGTCACAGGGAGGACAGTGCACGGGTAACCAGCCCTTTTCAGGAGGAACTGGATATTCAGGGAATTAGTCATTGTTATTCATCACAGGTTGAACCAGGAACCAGGTTCCCTGCCCACCTTTTCTGAAGGCAATGAAATAGAAGTCAGGGGACATCTGGGCTTGGAGAGGGAGTTCACGCTGTTTTGGGGAAGGCTGTTTCCCAGCTTGGATCAGCTGATATTTCTCAGGATGGCCCCATGACTTTAAAGAAATGGCAGAGTGACTCAGGCTACAGGTTTAGAGCTAAGCTACCCGAGTTCTAGTCCTGGCTCCACCCACCACTTAGAAGTCCTGTAGCCTAAGTTCATGCCAGTTAATTAATCTCTCGGTTTCCTTCACTGTACAGAGAGCTGACAATAGTAGCTTCCTCCTAGGCTGGTCTGAAGGTTAAATGAGAAAACTGCATGCCCTACAAGGCCGACTGTCCATAAGGGGTTGACAGATGTTTGCCACGGTTCTTACCCTGAGCATGCCACCAGGGACTGACCAGACTGGTCATTACCACATGCCAGGGATCGAAGTGCGCAAGAAACCTCAAGTTTAGATGTGCTGTTCCTGCAGATGCAGGAAGTCAGAACCAGAGGGCCTTGGTGGTCAGCTGGCCAGGAGTTCAGAAGAGATCGAAGAGTTTCAAAGGTTAACAGACCAAAGAGCCCTCCGGGGCTCCTGATGGGTGGCCAGGCTAGTAGACGACAACGCTAGTCCAGTCCCCTCCCTGCACACCTGGTGGGTGGAGGTGCAGGGCAGGAAGGGGCCGGTCCGAGGGCCCACAGCCAGCTGATGCTCAGGCTGGGGCTACAGTCTGATCCTCAGAGCCCCCAGGTCTCTCCTTCCCCAGGGGCGCCCTGCAGCCATGAGGCCACGTGGGAAGACCAACAAGGATGCCTTGTGTCCTTCAAAGCATTTTTTTAACCCAAAAGGTAGAAGAGAGTATTTCCCGCCAGTATACTTAAACACTTTCCTGTAAAAGAAAGCAAGCCTCATGATGTTCAGATGCACCTGAATCTGAGTGGGAGGTGAGCCTTGCACAGAGGACCCACTGGTTGCTGGGCTGCGCAGAGACCTGTTGAATTTAGAGGATTATTTCTCTTCAAATCAGGAGGATGTGTGCTCAGCCGTCTGTTTAAGAATTCGCTTATTTTCAGAGGATAAATATCAGCCTGTCGTTTTGAAAGGGAACATATGGGCATCAAATGACCATCATTTTCTTTTAACAACAGACACGTGTTAATGAATATGTAAATATCCAGAGGTGAGGCTGGGAAAGCTTGGCCGTCACTGGGCAGGATTTTGTAGTATTTTTTGCACGAGGACCAGATGGCATTTGGACTTCCAGAGACTGAGGGTCAGAGGAGCAGTCTCTACTCCTCTCTCCTCATCCTCCAGAGGCAGCACCAGGGAGGGGCTCTGTTGTCTGACTTCTGTGCTCATGGGCTTCCCTGGGAGGGAGGGTTAAGAGGACACACACAGGCTTCCGTGTTGGAATAATTCCTCCCACGTGGCCTCGGCCAAGTGGGCCTCGTTGTCATCACCACGGGGTGTGGGTGATGCCACCGATGTGACGCCTGTCAGGTGCCCAGGGCCAGGCAGAACAGGGGACATGCCGGGAGTGACAGCAGCTGCGGTCACTCAGGCCTGTACTCCACCCACTGGCGTGCCCTGGTTTAGGGCCGGGATGCTGGCTCACTGCCACGCTGTGCTCTAAAAAAGGGAATGGAGTGTCAGGCCACAGCCGCAGAGTGGCCAGGGCCGGAAATAGAGCCTGTTTGCCACCCTGTCATTACTGGCCCAAGTCTTCCCCTGAAGCCTGGACCGAGGTGCCCAGGGCCCCGCCTGCCTCAGCGGCTGCATATGTGAATGGCCTTGCAGACTGCTCGTTACAGCACCAGGTGAGCTCCTAACTATACCAGTGGCCCCAGCCCCACTCCAGACCAGGGAGATGCACGCCCTGGCGCTGGGGCCTGGGTGTTGGTACGGCTAGCACTCCCTGAGGATTAATATAGAGTGCAGCCAGGGTGGGGAACCATCGATAAACGTCCTTTCATGGAATTGATAGTTTGGATTCACAAATCCGAGGCCAAATGCTTTCAGGTGTGAATTTGGTGCCGCTGAGCCAACTAGCTCCATCCTCGCCACGGGGCCAAGTTATAGACTGTTTCACAAAGGCAGGACTTCAAAGCTCAGCCAGCAGGCCCTGCGCTCCCTTAGTCTGGAAGAGGTTGGGCACTTGCCCAGGATTCTGTTTTGGGTCAGAGGTCAAGCCTTACCTGGGCTGTGATCCTGGTAGGGCTGCCTTACACGTGCCCAGAGGCCGTCCCTAAAAGGGTCCTGGTTCAACAGCACACTTGCCCGTGGCCTGGGAAGGGCAGCCCATTGCAGGATGGGACCAGCCTCATTCTGGCAGCTGGGCCAGCCAGGCCTCACCCCTTACAGGTCTTTGGTGGTCTGGAAAATGCTGAGGACTGAGGTGCAGTGATTTTAACAACTTCGTTATCATCCGTTTCTTGAAGGCTGCCTTAGCGTCTAACCAGTCCTACCTACCTCACATGCATTGGGCAAATTCTAGTTCCCACAGCATCCCAGTGAGGTAGGGGGTATGGTCCCTATTTCACAGATAAAGAAATAAGCTTGGTAGCTGGCTCAAGGTCTTCCCGAGAGTAAGACTGCTAAGACAGAATTCATTCCCTAGTCTGATGGGCCCAGTTGCTCCTGATCCTTCTGCCAAACCACCCTGCCCCTTGCCCCCAGTGTGGGCCCGAGACTGCTGGGTAGCGAGCCCACTGCCCAGACTTGCATCTTGTCAGGACAAGTGAATCTGGGATTCAAGTTCTTCATGTTTCATTTTTTCAGCCACTTGCAGCAAAGCTCAGTCTAAGAGATGGTCAGAGAACTCTGCTTCCAGCTCAAAGGCAGTAGCGTTTTTCCCACTGGAAACAACTGGAAAAACTGGGCAAAACCAACACTCACAGACACACACACACACACACACACACACACTCCAGGTCCATCTGGCTTCACCAAACTCTTCCAGAAAATAGAAATAAATGAAACACTGCCCAACTCATCCTGTAAAGCCAACATAACCTTGATTCCAAACCTGATAAGGACATTACAAGAAAGGAAAATTACGAAGGGATCTTTCATGAACACTGACTCAAAATCCCTTAGCAAAATATTAGCAAGCTAAATCCAGTGATACATGAAAAGGATAATGGCAGACAAGAAAGTTTATGCTACAAAGGAAAGATCGTTTCAACATTAAAAAAGATCAATGCATTGTACTCCATTAAACTAAATAAGGGGTAAAATCATACGCATTTAATAAGATTCAATCTTTATTCACAGTAATAAAAACTCTCAGAAAACTAGGATTAGAAGGTTATAGGAAGGTAAGAAAACCTCTTCAATTTGATGGAATATCTGCAAAAAAGCACCTTAGTAAATGTGAAATGTTGAAAGCTCTCTCCCTGAGTTCAGGAACGAACTCAGGATGTATCCTACCAACGCTTCTACTTAGCATTACCTGGAGGTACAGGCAAGAGCGAAAGGTAGGAGGAGTAACAGGTATGCAGGATGGAAGGGAAGAAATAACACAGTCATTATTCACAGGAAGCATGATTGTGTGCATAGAAAATCAAAAAACCTGTAGATAAACTCTTAGAATTAATAAGTGATTTAGCAAGATTGCCGAATACAAAGTCAGTATCAACAAAAATCAGTTGTATTTCAGCACACCAGTGACAAACCAGTAGAAATAAAATTCATAAATACTACCATTTATAATATTATGTGTGCAAGCTCACCTCCCACACACACACCCCCACATCAAATGCCTTGGAATAAAACTAATGAAAGATAGGCAAGATGTCTACACAGAACGTTGTCAGTGTTGCAAAAATTGAATAAAGGCCTAAATAAATGGATGGGTGCATCTGGCTTGTGGAGTAGGAGACTCAATATTGTAAAGATGTCAGCTCTTTCCAACTGATCTATAGGATCAAGGTGATCAAAATCCCAGCAAGATTTTTGGGGGGATGTGAATTTTAAAGTTTAAATGGAAGTGCAAAGAGCCAAGAATGGCCAAGAAGAACAAAGCTTAAGGATTTACACTACCAGATATCAACTGCGAAAACAAAAGAAAATTCAGACACACTACGTGCATTTGACTTATGACAAACGAATGTGACAATGGGATGTTATGGGGAAAGATTATTTTTAATTACTGGTACTGAATGCACGGGATATTCATAGGGAAAAGATAAATTTTGACCCTTAGGCCATATAACATATAAAAGCTTTGACCCTTACTTCACACCATAGGCAAAAACTAAAATATGAAAAGTAAAACAATAAAGCTTCTAGAAAAAAACTCAGCAAAAAATTTTCATGGCATTGTGATAGGTAAAGTTTTCTTAAACCAGATGCAAAAAGCACTTAACCAAAGAGGAAAACAATTGGTAAACTGGATTAAATTAAAATTTTAAATTTCTGTTCAGCAAAAACACCTTCAAGAGAGAAAAAGAATAAGCCATTAAGCTGGAAAAAGAAGATAGATGGTTGCATATATGTGTGTATATGCATGCATACCACACACATACATATACACATACATATATTTTTGACTGCATGTCTGGGATATATATGAACTCTTACAAATCAAAAAGAAAAAGGTGAACAACAGAACAGAAAAATGGGCTCAAACAATAACTTCAGAAAAGACGTTATTCGAATGGCCCACAGACACAGAGAATCATGCTCAAACTCACTAGTTTGGAGGCAGCGAATTTCAAACCACAGTGATTGCCACTCACACTAACCACAAGGGCTAAAATGTTTTTAACTGACAATAGCAAGTCTGGGTGAGGGTGGGGCTCCTAGAACTCTCATACTGGGCTGCTGGGACTATGAGGGATGACAACACTCAAAAATTGTTGGCTGTATCTACCAGAGCTGAACAATTACAGACTTTGTAACTAGCAATTCTCTCAGATATGTACCCAAAAGAAATGTGGATGTAGGTCTACCAAAACACATGATGAGGGTGTTCCAATCTGCATTATTTGCACACCACCCCTGAGAAAACTCTCCAGCACCCATCCACAGACAGTTGCTGCCCTCAACAACGTGGATGAATCTTACAAATATAACGTTGAATAGACAGGCTTATAAACACACAAAGTTAATGTATGGTAAATTAGCTGATGGTGTCAGCTTTGGCGGCTCTAACAGAACACCACAGACCCGATGGTTTATAAACAATGGAAATGTACTGCTCACAGTTCTGGAGCCTGGAAGTCTGAGATCAGGGTGCCAGCATGGTCAGGTTCTGCTGAGGATCCTCTTCCTGGTTTGCAAGCGCTCTCATGTCTCCTTTTATATAAGGACCCTAATTCCATCACAAGGGTTCCACCCTCATGACCTAATCTAACCCTAATCATCTCCCAAAGGCCCCACCTCCAACTACTGTGCCACTAAGGATTAGAGTTTCAACATATACATTTTGAGAGGACACAAACATCCAGTCCATAACGGTGAGGGGTCAGAAGAGTAGGCGTAGTGGCTAAGAAGGGCATTCTAAGGTGCATTTTTAAAAAAAAATTGGGGTATAACTGACATATGACATTCTATTAGTTTCAGGTGTGCATCATGATTCACTATCTGTACCTACTGGAAAATGATCACCACAATCTGAGTAGTTCTTTGTGCTGATTTCATAGGAACATTTGCTTTTGAAAATTCAGCAATCCATACATTTATAATGGTGTCCTTTTCTGTATGTATGTTACACTTTGATAAAAAATTTACTCAAACAATAGAGAAGGGAAGGGGGAAGAGGGAGAGGGTGGAGAATAAAAAAAGAGAGAGGGAGGGAGGAGAGAAGATGCCACTTCCCCCAACCACCAAGGAAATGGGGCGACAATTGGTCCCACCAGGTCTCCAGGAGCCTGGAGCACAATTTCCCAGCATCGGCAAAGCACACTCAGGCTGGATTTGGTCGGGAACAGATGGCTGGAGAAAGATGCCAGCGATCTCGCGCCATCCCCCTTCTCCTGAGGGCTTGGATGTCACTCAGCCTCACTCGTCACTCCGTGCCCACTCTCCCTGGGTGGGTGGAGATGTGAATGCCAAACTCCGGATAAAGAGCGGGGATTAATTTGATCCTCCACCTGCGTACCTCTGAGTGGGCAGGCCTAGGGAACGGGCAGGTGGGGTGTGTGCGTGAGCTGCAGAGATGTGGCTGACCTCCACCTCGATCCTACCCTTCCTGTCCAGGCTGGGGCAGGGAAGGCAGGTGCGGGTCCAGAAAGGGGTCACCGAGATCGCCGCTGCCCAGGGGAGGTGCCCTGACCCCTGCCCGGCTCTGGCCCGCCCACATCTGTGGTGCCAGGACACCACAAAGGGCATTGCAGGCCCAGCCGAGGACAGCCAAGCTTCCTGTGCAGGGTTCCAAACCCCACGGGGGCTCCCGAGTGAATGCTCCAGCCTGTTCTTTGTTTCCTTCAATCTGGGACAAATGTTGCCCAAGCTGATCTCTTACCGAGCTGACATTCTGAGCCTGCGATGGTCTGGAGCAGACGCAGCTGAAAGAGGAGGCAGGAGGCCTGGTTACTCTGCTGCTTTCACTGGCTTTGTGGCCTCGGGCCCATCACAGGGCTGCCCTTGCCTCAGTCCCCTCTTTAGGACACAAGGGGTTAGTGTTTTGTGCTGCCCAACATGGTAGCCATATATTGGCATGTGCTGTTTAACTCTAAATTCAAATTAGTTAAAACTAAATAAATAGAAAAACCCAGTTTTTTTGGAGGGGGGCAGGTAATTAGGTTTATTTATTCATGATTAATTTTTAATGGAGGTACTGGGGATTGAACCCAGGACCTTGTGCACGCTAAGCATGCATTCTACCATTGAGCTATGCCCTCCCCCTCCAAAACCCCCAAAACTCAGCTCTTCCATCGTGCTAGCCCACAATGTGGCTAGTGGCCACTATATTGGACAGTGCAGATGCAGAACATTTTCATTATCACACAAAGTTCTACTGGGCAGTGCTGGGCTAGACCAGTCTGTGGTTTCATGACCTTTTTTTTTATTACCCAAAGACCAATGTAGTCAACAGATAAACTGAGAAAGAGGCGACCAGAGCCCCCTGAGGGTCTTCGTATCTCATCGTGTCTCCCAGACTCTTCCATGGGGGCCCCCATCTGTGGAAATGCTCCCAGCACCAGTACATGCTGATCTATTATCTGCAAACCTGCATGTCTGGGATGAAGACGTAGTTTGAGACAACTTTAGTCACAGGTTATCAGTATCTGTTGCCTTTGGGGCTTTGTTTTCAGGATCTCATATACTCTGACTTAATCCTCCTAAAAACCTTGTGAAAAAGCTGTCACCTTTTATCTCTACCTACAGATGAGGCTCAGAGAGGTTGAGTAACTTGATCAGGGCACATAGTTAAGGAATTCAAATACCAGGTGATTCTGATTCCAAAGACCACCTCATGGTGCTGTTTTAAGGTACTTTCCAGGCCTAGGAGAGGTGACCAGAAAGCCCCTGAGGTCACTGCTCCACAGGAGGGGTCTCCGTCACCACCACACAGGGAGCGAGTTTGTGCAGCAAGCCTGAGTGCTTCCCCGGGCCAGCTGGTGTGCTGGGGGAAGGGGGCTCAGGAGAGACGCCCGGACTGCATGGACGGGAATCCTTCCAGCTGGACCAGAGCTGATGGCCTGAACAGATGGTGGGGGAAGCCGAGGCGAAGGCAGAGAGGGTGCCTCTGTTCCGAAAGGAACAAGAATGCAAGGGTCACTCTTGAAGAACACCATGTGACAGGCGAGTTGGTCCTGATTACCTGGCGGACCCCGACTGGCAAAAAACATCCCACGGAGGCAGGACGGGTCTGTTCACTTTCCCATCCCACCCTACGCCCAGTGGATTTCTCACCTTTGGTTTTTCTCTAACTTGATGTCACTGTTCATCCAGGCATGCTCATTTCTTCTTACCTATACAGCCTACCAGTGAATACATTCAACGTAGAGTTTTACTAGCCCTGATTGGCCCGGGATGTTACCAGGCTTTGCAATTTTCCCCCGGGAGGAACAGGCTGTTAAAGTAGGCTGGGAAAATCACCAGGGATTTTGATCCTACAAAATCACCAGCCCATAAATACCATTTAGATCCTTGAGTTCAGTTTAGAGACCAGTGGTAGGGTGAGCAAACATCTTGAGAAGTTTCCAAATGTGGGAATTTCAGCGCTAAAACCGGGAAGTCCTTGGCAAACCAAGGTGAATTAGCCAACCGAATTAGTGGCAACCCTCCAGGAAACTCACCTTCTCCTTCTGAATGCTGCTGGTCCCGGGGGACTTCAGCACCTGACGGCACTTGGAGAACTGTCAGTGACGGGCCCCTGGGCTTGGCACGCAGGCTGTACTGCCGCCAGTGTAGCTGAAAATGCCCACCTGGGAGCTCGGAACCTCTCACTCAACAACGTGCAGTGGCTGAAACAGGAGCAGAAGGATGGGATCGCCAGCCACTGAGTAAGAGAGGCTGGCTTGGGAATAGGAGGCCCTGTGCTTCTGTTTTGAGAGGATCCGGAAATACTCTTTGACCTCGGGTGGAAAAGGGAAGAGGAGAAAGCCCTCAGGTAGACTGTGTCCCTGGTTGAGTGGAAGATGTTTCATCTTTCTCACCTCTGGAAGGGAATCTGCTCTGGGTTTTGACCAGAAGAAACCTAAGTTAGAATAGCATTCCTCTAAATAACGGAGGCAGGGGCGGGTGTGAGGAGGGGGGGGGCTTACTGGGGTAATAATGCGGATTTTCTGGGGGCAGTGCGTAACAGTTCACAAAGACCTGTCTTGAATCCTCTCAGGTAATTCTCATGACAGCCCTGTTGGGTTGGGTATCTGTATCGGCTCATTCTAAAGGTGAGTAAACTGAGGCTCAGAAGGTTGCTTAGCTAAGTGATGGGACCCAGTACACCAGTAACTTGCTCCATGTGTGGTTTCTGGCCTCCTAAAACCAAGACCCCATCCTCACATATCTCCCTCAAGCTGGACATCCCTCTGTGGGCATCTTGTGACCTCTAGACCAGCTCCCATGCGCTATGAGGAAAGCATCCATGTTCTAGCCACAGTGGGCCTCACCTGCCACAATTTCCTCCCTTGCATACTCAGTTCAAAAACTACTGGTCACCTGGATTAATAAACTCTGGTACCCTCTAGGGGTCTTGGGGGACCTCTGTTGGGTGCTTTCTGGTGCTTTTTGGAATTCTAGACTGGAAATTCCTTGAAGGTTGTATATCAGCAAGGATTTTATAATTGCAAGGAATAAAAACTAACCTTTTCTAACTTTGGCAAAAAAACAGGATGTACCGGGAAGATTCAGGGCTGGGCTGGGCAGGAGCTAGGACATCTCCAGGAATCTCAAGAGAAGGAAAACCTCGAGGCCTCTCTCTAGCTATGGCCACCAGGTGACTCAGCCCCAGCCACCTTCCAACTCTGTACATCTCTACTCAAGACAAATTTCTAGGTTGGCCTAGTTTCGGTCATGTGCCCATCGCTGTGATTGGGGTGTCCTCTGAGAGCCCTTCTAGGACCACAGGGAAGGGGAGGGGGCAGGAAACAACATGTCCACTAACAGGGGGACTCTGTCTTGTGCACCTAACACTGCCTGACACAGCAGATGCTCAAGTGGTTGTAGATTCACACACATGAATGTGTGACTGCACAAAAATTAAAATTTAGCCACCTTATGTGACATTCTGACAAAATATTTTCAAGACAGTTGATAGTAGAGAAATTGACTATATAAAAGCAAGAAAAATTCCAAAGGTAGGCGATTTGGGTTTAGCTGAGAGAGATTCCAGTGTCCAGAGCGAGTTGTTAATGATAAAAGTGATTCTCTACTTAGACGGTGTGTCACCCAACCACTATTAGTTTGGCGAGAAAACCATTGGAAAAGTTTGATGCAATTTCTAAGTCAGATGATGGGTCAAATCATGGCCCAGACAGGGGCGCCATTTAGCTAGTGACAGATGTGCCAAACAAAAGATCACGCTGACGATTTCTAAACATCAAAAAATAATTTGGAAATTGTTGGAATAATGGGGTGAATAATTTATATGACGATATGTACCCCTTTGTTTCATATATGTGAAATATCTTTATATATCTTAGGTTATTTTAAGAATAAAAGAAAATACATTAATTGTTGATTTTATATTAATTCATATTCCATGTCAGTCATTGAATATTTTTAATATCATCCTGCCTGTGAAACAGTGAAGTAGGCATTATCACCAGCCCTGTTTTATTTTTATTTTCCCCCAGCTTTTTATTATGTAAG